TTAAAAAACCAAAAACGTTCGAGAAAAATGACAAAACATGGTTTTTAACAAAACAAGACCTGAGCTTTATTAACTGGGCACCTGATCATAAATGCAGGCTGATCAGGAGCGTCAAGTGTTCACAATCATGTATGGAAAATTTCAGCTCAATGGGTTTTCAACTTTTCATGAAACACGCAATTAAAATGTGTCTGGTTTTTATTGACGCTAAGTATATTTATAGATCATATTAAACTAGCAGGTTTCCATTAAAAAATTTAGGTAGGCCTACACCTCAGAGAAGACTAATTTTACCTTTATTACACTGACTTGCTGAATGTGAGTGAGAACATCTCGAGATTTACGCAACATTTCTACAAGAGCACAGCACTCAAACGAATATAATTAACGTCAAACAAGCGACGAGAAAAGAGATGCAACAGTACATTTTTGTTGAGCTGTCCCTGTTGTTTTATGCAAGAAAAATCCAGAAATTATGCAAACTGAGCCCAACAATGTGAAATTATGCGATTCTGTTAATTTTAACAAAGAATGTTAAAGGAAAATAATCAGAAATTATGCAAAAAATGATCCAATTTTGCTAAATTATGCGGAGTGCATAAAACCACGAGGACAGGTTGAGGTATTGCAAGGAAAAGTCTCTTAGAATCAAGATCATGAAAAATACCTTTTGTAATCGAGAGCATGTACGCTGTTTTGAAAGCAATTTGTGAATCTTTGATTGATGGCCTATTTCGTAAATGTCTAACGGGATAAGAGACATTAACAGGTTGTAACCTCTGTATGTAACAAGTTTCCATCTGTGTTCAACAGGCCATTAGAAATAGTACGTCAAAAAAAAAAGGAAAAAAGTACTCCTTAATGTATTCTTAAATGAAATTCTGTGTTTCCTGGTTTGAAAAAAATTCAAACCTCACAGAAACAAGTCCAGTGTACTAGTGTATACATTTATCAAATACAGTCACTCTACTAATGTAAAAAAAATACAGTGCCCTCATGTTGCCAATGACATTCTTGTGGGGTTTTAACTTTTCCTAAAGACCACAAGAAGGAGACCCTGAGGACTAAATTGATTTTGATATTGGTGAAGACGATGTAATGTGTGACTCATTTAAGGTTAAAAGAAGACAAAATGTGCCAATGTAATGCGCTTTATTTTCCTAGGCAGGAGATGCGGACACCAATGGATGTGTGGCTGGGGCAATGTTGGCTTGTAAACTAGGCTTGTCTGCTATACCAAAAGACTGGATTGATGAACTCGAACATAAAGATTGGCTTATGGAGTATTTCCATAGGTAAGGCTCCCTTGCTTCCTAATTTCTCTACAAAGGCCTGGGTTTTTTTGTTGGGGATTACTCCAAACTCTTTTTTGTATATATTACCAAAGCTCAAAATGAAGAAGAAGCACACGCCTTAGGCATGCTGCCCAGATTGGGATGGCTTTAGTTGTTTTGTGTAATTCTAAGGCTAGGGTTAAATCTAAATTGTTTGATTGTACAGAAGAGCTCTGTAACGGATTGTATGATTTAAAGTAAAGCGTTTATTTTTTGTCAGATAAGATTGGAATAGATTTAATACAGATGTCTAATGTTTAATGAAAGAATACTGAAGAAAAGAGAGAAATAATCTAGAAAATTTGCGATGGCAAAGTATTTGAGGAGTCAATTTAGTAATGGTATATGTGCAAAGTAAATGACATAAAATGGAGTCTACCGGTAGGCCTACTTGTTTCAGACTATGTGGTATGAATTGTTTAGGTAATGAAAGATTTGGAAGTTCCTTAAAAGATCTAGAGACTAATAGTGATTAGTAACGACTTTTATGAGAATTCTAACTTCTTCAAGTTTTTTATATATATGTATATGTATTTGTTTGCTTCCAGATTTGTACGTCTCCAATCTGAGCTCAGTAAACCTGTATCAGAGAGGACAAGCAATGATGATCTCAGCCTTGAAGCTTTGAGAGAGCTCACACAGAAGATCAGAGATGAGCAGCAAAAAGATTCTGCTTCAAAAACATAATTGCCTGTCCATGCCTGTGATGTGTGGCTTCAGTAGTCTAGTGGTTATACCCCCCGGGGCAGTGCCACTGACTGTAGTGTCTTTAGGCCATTCCCAAAGGGGGGACATTTCTCATTCATGCACCGTAGAATTGTAAATGGGCTGATTCATCATGTCACGCTCCTAACTGTGCCTGATCTACAACAGGAAACTGCTACTTTTTCTTTCTTAATTCTTACTATTGTCATTTTCCTCTACTCCTTTTGTATGTTTGTCACACTCTTGTGACCTGCTATTTCAGGGGTGCCTTGATAGTTGAAGCAGACTTTGTTCTGTTGAAGCTAGAGAGGTGAGCAGAGTAAGTCTGATTCCCTGTAAAGACTTCTCTGTTGACACCCACCCCTTGGCGCTCATATGACCTTATGCAGTTGCGAGCGCCGCAGAACCCTCTACTAAAAACAACCCCCCCCCAAAAATCTAGTGGTTAGGCTATTGGACTCATAATCGTGAGGTTGCGAGTTCGGCGGTTTGAACTGCAGGCCCGATGTTGTGTCCTTGGGAAAGGCACTTCACATGAATTTTCCTTACTTCACCAAGGTGGGAATGGGTGCCAAGCTATAGACAGTGAAAGATCCTGAGTACCGTATGTTACTGTTTTAGTGCCTAAAAGAGGCAGCTTGCTCTGTATGCTTCATAGGAGGTTGAGATCGTTTCTGAAAGCTATCAGTATCAGGTCTGCTGGGGTAAGAAGTGCGTAGAGATTGCTGTTGAGCGAGATTTTGGGCTATACAAAGGCTATCTATTAATTACTTTTTGTGAATTTTTTTTGTATCTCGTATCCTTCCGAGCTGCTGGTTGGACCGCCAAATTCTTTGCTTTCTATCTTTCGTTTTTTTTTTTCTTCTTGTTTTTTTCCAACACAAAATTACTGTTGTTGTCAATGTTTCTGTTCACTCAAACTCAAACGTATCTTAAAGAGTTAGCATAGTGCAGTCTTGTACTGTATAGTAATTGTGCAATCCAGGCTCAAGCCCAGCTAGAATTGAAAAGAGATATTTGTTGCCATCTCTTAGACGGTTACAAATGAATTAAATTCTCATGTTCGTATTATAGTCAGCTGACTGATCAGGGTGTTGTCCCTGAGACTGAACAATAAAAAGATATGGCTCAAGTTTGAGGGAGTTGTCAAAGAAGGACAGGGATGAACATAAATGCACATCTTTATGTTGTATCCTTTCTCTGGTGAATTTTTTTTTTTCCTTGTTTCTTCATGGTCATACAACAAATCATGTGTTCATGCTGGTTTCATTGGGCATCCAAAATACTGTGAGAGAGAAAAGGCATGGTAAAAAGGGTAAAGTACAATAAACTGCGAGATCAGTTTCATGTTCATGAGGTATTTACTGAGAAATCTGTTTTCAGTTGTCAGTGTTCTACCACAAATTCTGCTATCTCAATTTTAGCTTGTCACAGATGATTTTTTTGTTTGTTGGTAAAATTGACAGAGACATGCAGTATCTGTTGTGATATTTTTATGAGAACCCTCTTTTCTGTTGTTTTATGTAACTGTGAGATCGAGCCTTTTGTTATAAAACTTTACAGAGGAAACTGATTTTCCTGTTATTGTCATTTTACAAGGTGACTATTTATAGTACAGTCCTTGCCAGCTTTAGGCACGGTCATCGGGAGAAAGCTTAAGCGTGCTTAATGCCGAAGTGTGCTTGAGTGCGAAGTAGACATAATCCAGAGATTTTCATGTACAAAATTTCCCGTTCTATTTCCCTTTGTTTGTAAGATTGTAAGTAGGCCTATAGTGGTCCCACAAAAGTGTTCACTGCTATTTTTACCCACAAGGGTAGTTTTAGTTTGTTTTGTTTGTTTGTTTTGTTTTTTGGTCGTCAGACCGAAGGGCTAGAACCCAAATGGCCGCTGGATCGGAAAAGTAAAGTAAAGTAAAGTAAGTCTTTTGGTTGAATGGGAAATGAAAACTTAATTGAGACGGCCAGTCATGATACAACACACAAGGCGTACACACTGCCTGTGCATACCACTGCCCATTGTGCCACATTCATACCACCACCTTCATCCCACCTCGCACGTGATACATAATCAGGATTAATGGATAGCGAGGGGCAAAGGTGAAATCGCAGCCAGCCTCCCTTTCTCGTCTCCCCGACTCTCTTTGTATTTTTTTCGTCTGTGTGTAGCCTTGCCCTAGGCTAGATCCTATGTCCATGTGGGCGGCTGTGTACATCTCTCTGCCTTCCTCTCCGCGTGTGTGAGTGTGTGTCTCCGTCACTTGCGTTCTTTGTGTTTCTCTTACACACTCACTGCTGCGGTGTAGACTGTGTTCGAACTTCGATGGGTTGTCATGAAAGTATTGACTGTCTTGTAAATGAGGCGTGCCCGAAGCCGAAGTTACCATGCTTAAAGGCGTGTAATTTATATAACCAAAATTCGGTAAGAGCTGTTTTGCGTGCTTGAGTCCGAAACGTGCTTTATGCTGGCATGCTTAAAGCCGGCACGGACTGCATATTAATGTATAGTGAGAAACCTGTTTTCAGGAGTTTTCCTCCAGGAACTTTGAGGCTGTAGTCTGAGTGTTCGTTTTCAATAAAAGGTTGTGTGTGTTTTCTTCCTAGTCTTTTTTTTCTTGTTTTTTTTTACAAATACCCTCAGTATTTATAACTATTTAATTTATCTAATTTCATTCCTGTTCCAAGATATTGTGTACATTGTTTTCTCTTTGTTCATGTATTGTTAGTGGTTTGTTAAATGTCTAGGTTGTTTCTAGACTTTTTAAGGATTTTCGCTTTGAGGATATTCTCAACATTCTTTAGAAAATCCAATTTTCAGTCGTTTTAAGTTGTCTTTTTCAGTACATGAGTGATTGGTTTTTTTCCACATTCACAACTTTAAGTCAGGAGAGACCATCCTATATTATTATTGGTGGATTTTTGTACCCCAATTGATGGTTCTACTCCTCTTTACTGGCCTCATTATGGTGCAGACCTCTCTTACTAATGCAGTTCTTTTTTATCATTAAGATTTTAACACATTATATTGTATATTATTTATAATACATGTATAGCCATTTAAATACCGGTGCGTGGGTGGTTGGTGGGTGCTCTGGTGTGGTTTGCTTCTTCTTTCCTATCAAACGTCTATTATCCTGATCTCCCCTTCTTCTTTTTTATGTTTGTTACTCTCTTGTAACACCTCTAATCTTCTGGCGCTCCTATGACCTTATGCAGTTTCGAGCGCCGGAAAACCTCTAGTAAAACTACTTTTAAAAATACCGGTGCTTTAATGATGACTTTATCAGTGAGAAAAATGAATTGTGTTGTAATTCCTGTATTGATACTTGTGTCATGATTAGGTATAATCAGGCACTAGTCTATTTTTGGGCATGTACGTGGACTTATTTGGTTCATCTTAAAGCTTCCCTATATCCGTCTTGCTTTCAATGAAAGAAATATCAATTTTTCTTGAATAGCAGTCAAGATATAATTGAAAGAGGTAGGGTTGCCTGGTTTCAAAGGTAAAAACTAGTGAGAAAATGGCCACCAAAGTTTTGTGACTTACATAGTTTGAGAGTCCTTTGAAACGGAAAATTTACTTTTTTTGGTCCTTTTCAGAAATGTTTTCTTCAAAATCCAAACAGAACTGGTTTTAAACGGACATAAAAGATGTGGAACCCAATAACAAAAGTTTGATTAAAATTGCCAACCCGCGGAAATATGCCGGTTTCTTCAATTTCATTATTTTGACATGCGTCTGATTTCACTACAATACACTACCTCACATTTAAATTGTCTTCCTTTTCCTGTGTTTTTGAGGTTTTATGTCTCTGTTTATTGACTCTTTCAACAATCTGACTACTCCACATATGTTTCAGATAAGTTCTCTACTTGTGGCTGGAGACAAAGCTACTTGTGTGATACTGATATAATATCATGTACATTGGCCTGGGATGATCAAACGTTTCTCCTCTCTTTTGTGTTTTGAATAGACTACAGCTTAAAAATTTTCTTAGTACTAAATAATATAGTACCCTGCAAACCACAATTGACATTTTATTTATGACTAACGTTTTGCCACGTTTATTCTGAGTTCCTCAGATAACGATCTTAATGATATGCATCCATGAGAAGAAACGTTTTCAAGGAACTTTTTTTTCCCCCCAGAAATTTTGAGGAAGAATTATGTCATAATGCAGAATAAGCTAAAACCGTAATACATAGCCTTTACAAAATTATCCTAAAATTACCAAGAATTATGTTATATTCATCAGTGCTCTGAGAAGCCAAATTTTTCATCCTAAAGTAGACAGGTTTTGTACATGAATACAGTACTTCCTTCTTCCTTCAGGTTGTTGTTCTTGTACTAAATTGTTTGGTACAAAATGGATGAAAGTAAAAATATTATTAATATGATCTGAAAGGAAAATATAATTTTTCTGCTAATAGCTCTCCCCCCCCACGCTTTTAACTTGTATTCGTAGAGCTTCCTCTTCCATGTTTTTTTATCCCTAGCATAAGTTCTTTTCCATGTCACACAACAGTAACTATTTGGGGTAATTATATATACATGTATATATATATCTAGCATCTGCGTTTGTTGCCATTTTTTGGTCCAAAAGTTGCCAAAAGTTGTCACAAAAATGGCAAAAGTTGCCCAAAAAGTTGCCATTAATTTTCAAGCTTTCTACTCTCTGTGACGACATATATAGCAATATGTTGATAGAGGTAACTTAATCTGAAACACTAGAATTTCTTGTGCTCTGTTTTAAGCATCCAGAATATCATTTCTAGCCACACAGTGTGTAAAAACGTGACAAATAAAGGTTTCACAACAGAATGAAATCAAAATTAGAACAGCAAATTAATAAACAACCACAAAAATTAGCAAATAAGGGCGTTTATCAACTCATCCTTAGACTGGCCGTTTTAATCCTGTGATTCAAGAAAAAGTACAAGATATTGCATGTAATTTAATGTAAATTGTGAAATCATACACAAGGGGCCCGCCAGTGTCGGTATTCGGTTTTGGTGGAGACACGCTCGAACATAACACACATTTTTTTTTTTAAAAAGGTAGGAAGAACATTACGCCTTAT